CGTCACTGAACCTATATTGCGCTATAGCGCCCCTCCCTTACAATTATTTGCCACAGTACGGTAACTTCAGTAGGCGAACAACCATACACCGTACCCCCAAAGAAGCCGTAAATAATTGGGTGCACACCAAACACATCATCTCACGACAACAGCGTCGAAATTGCCTGGATAACGCACGTATGTGTTGCGGTTGCTATTGCCTCGAATATTTTTGAAGCAAGGAGAATAGTATGTATAGACCTGACGTTCTTAGCACCGATCGACAACGCAGCCCACCTCAACCCAGTTTATGTAGTTTCGTCTCAATTCAAGACAGTGCGACTGCGTCGGAATCTGAAACTTTTCGCCTTCCAGATTAGTGAACGAATGTTGTCACTATGCACAACTTTTCCTCCTCATTTCAGCACCATTCGTAGAATTCAACTCAATATTTCAATTGCGAACTTATTCTTGAAGCTGTGAATAGGGCTGACCATGAATCGAACTCGGACGGTATTTTGTTCAAAAAACTATGCTTGTCATCATTCCTCGTATCGCACGAAACCAACAGGAAGCAAGCAGGCAGTGGATAACCACACGACAAGGAGGCTATACTGTCATCAGAACCATATATAGAATGTGGAGTGCCCTTGAAACCCGATTACAGATGTGCTAAGAAGAAAAATGGGCACTATTGAACTATTCCTACCCAGTCTGCCGAAATCAGGCCGGTTTTTTTACCGACTTTTTTTCTACAAGGGCAGATTTGGCTGAAAATTTGCTTATAGGGGTACTTCGACCTCCTGAACACGAATATCACATCCGCTTCGCCCGAAACTGCCTGGCGCCGCGCCACAGGCGCCGGCGCCAAAACACCCTAAACCCGCGAATTTGCTGGAAACTTGTCCCTAGGGGTAGTTTGATCCCTGAACATGAATATCACATCCGCTTGGGTCAAACCGTCGATGAAAACTTGTATACGGGGGTTATTTGACATCCTGATTACGAATATGACATTTATTCTTGGCGCCGGCGCTAACGTAGGACACTATGGTCATCTGCGCTTTGCTAAGACTGAGCCTGGCCTGAAGGGAATCACTCCTTTTCCCAGGTTCAGCCTCAGCAGAACGCTAAATGGCGCTGGTATGGAGAAATAAATGCCATACTCGTGATCAGGGCATCAAACAACCCTATTACGCAAGTTTTTATCGATTTTGGGAAAAAAGGTGTGGCGCCAAATGGCGCCAGCGTCATAACCATATTCGTGATCTAGGATGTCAGTTGAACCCCCGTATACAAGTTTGCATCAAATTTGGCGAGAAAAGTGTTGGCGCCATGTTGGCGCCTATTGGCGCCAAATGGCGCCAGCGCCAGAAATGAATGTCATATTCGTGATCAGGACATCGGATAACATCTGAAGACAAAGCTTCAAATTCAGTTTCAATTCAAAGAATACAAAATTTTTTTTAGTTTTTGGGGTAGGAATGGTGGTGACGTCCGTTCGTGCACGTCCGTTCCGTCCAAATTGTGCCACCGGACCTGCTCTCGCTTTTTGCGGGGCTAAGCAGAAGCGCGCGACGGAACTCGAACACAGCGCCGACAGGCCTTCGTGACGGGCCTTACCGAACACCCCCGTGTCACATCGATTTGTTAACTTGCAACACGAATTTCAACATAAATGCTACGGCGCTCGCGGGAGCCGACGCGGCACTCGCAAGCCGTGCGGAAAAATATTTGCGGGGTCCTCATTGCAAAGGACGGCATCGCGGAGGGGCAACCAGGCTAGTCCGAAAGACCTGCAATGTGTTAAAGGCTCGCATTGCGACGCTGAATGTTGGCACGTTGACTGGACGCTCGTATGAGTTAGCAGAAGCCCTAGAGCGTAGAAAGATCGACCTCTGTGCCGTGCAAGAGACGAGATGGGCTGGTTGCAAGTCGAAAGAGTTAGGCCGCGGCTTCAAAGCCGTTCTTTGTGGCGGGCCGAAAACTACAAGTGGTGTAGCCGTGATCGTGTCTCAGCGATTCCGCGATTCGATTATGAGCGTAGTTCGTTTCGACGACCGTTTAATGAAGATTGTTGTCGCTATTGAACAACGACTTTACCACTTCTTCTCTGCATATGCCCCACAAACTGGATGCTCTGAGCAGTCCAAGGACGAGTTCTGGGCTCTGCTGGACGAGAAGACGGCTGAAGTGCCACCAAAAGACGGTATCATTGCAGCCGGCGATTTGAACGGACACGTGGGCGCTGCAAAGGACGGCTATGCTTGTCATGGGGACAACGGATTCGGCTACGGTCAGGAACCGGCCGATATGTGAGCGAGTCCTAGAGTTTGCAGAGTCCGCATAATCTGGCTCATTCTGACACGAGTTTCGTAAACGTGCATTCTCATCTATCCACGGTTCTACAGCGGTATTACCCAAGACACAAATAGTTTGTGCCATCAGACATGGTCTGACCAAGTCTCGTGACCGAGGCCCCAAAAGGGTAGTAACTATGAATGAAACGTTGCCACGCAGCCGACAACCCGGGCCACCCCTGATTCTGCGACGCTCAGAGTTGTAGCCCCATGACGACGGCAGGCAGAGCAGAACCGGTCCTGAATGAATGAAATTTGGTGACGACCATGAGAGCGGGAGGCCAGCTGCGTGATTTCTCAGATTCGATACCTGAAGTCACAACTATTCAGGAGACCTGGGGCGAAGTTGTTAATTCTATAATCCAGGCCGCCCGCTCCGAACTCGGCACAACGAAGCCTGGACGGCGGAGGATTGACAAAGAGGCATGGCTCTGGACGGACGACGTCAAAGCAAAGGTTCGAGAAAAGAAAAGACTCTATTCACGCGTTTCTCGAAGGCACAAGATCGGCTGACAACGTGCGGCCAGTATTTCGGAAGCGAGGAAGGGGCGGCAAAGAGGCCGCTGTGGCTGCTGTGAAGGCCGCTCACTTCGATGATATCAGCAAGAAGCTGGAGACGCGCGACGGTGAGCGGTACCTGTACGGACTTGCCAAATCTCGTCATCGCCAAACAGAAGTTCTTTGGCATAAGTGATGAGAATGGCCAACTTCTGATGGACCGAAAAAGGGTATTGCAACGATGGCGTGAATACTTCGAGGGCATCTCAACGGTGGAATTCGCCCATCCCGCTATACCCAGTACCGCACCAACATATGGCCCCGTTCAGAAGATCACCGTACAGGAAACCGAAGCTGCTCTGAGGAAGATGAAGGCCGGCAAAGCAACAGGCCCCGACGACATCGCAGCGTGTGATTCTGTGAAGCACCACGCTCCGTTTTCTGCGGGTTGGTTGACGAAACTCTTCAACCAGATTGTCGCAGAGGAGAAGGTGCCTAAGGACTGGCAGCAGATCGTGACGATCCCGATTTGGAAGAAGAAGGGCAAGCCCGGCAGATTGTTCAAACTACCGTCCAATTCGACTTCTCTCGCACACTATGAAGATCTTTGAGCGAATTGTTGACGCCCGCGTCCGTGATATCATCCAGCTTTCCAACAATCAGTGTGGCTTCGTGGCGGGTTGTAGCACCGTCGACGCCATACATGCCGCTCGCCTATTGCTGGAGAAACACCGTGAGAAGAATGCGAAGGCCCGTGCATGTGTTTCTTAGACCTGGAGAAGGCATTCGATCGTGTGCCACGTGATGTTATATGGTACGCTTTGAGGCGGCACGGCGTGCCCGAAGAGCTAATTGAGTGGGTGCGCATCCTTTACTCATGCCCAGGGAGCCAAGTTCGCTCACCAGCGGGTGTCTCAATGGAGTTCCCCATCACCGTCGGGGTACATCAAGGCTCTGCGCTCTCCCCACTTCTTTTCGTGGTCATTGGATGCCATCTCACGAGATCTTCAGAAGGAAGTGCCATAGACCTGCTTTACGCTGATGACGTGGTGCTTGCTTGTGGAGATAAGGGCGCCCTGGAACAGTAGATGCAGCTTGGTCCGAGCGTCTGGCAAGTTTGCGACGGCAGAGTTGAACGTCAAAACCGAGCACCCTGACAAACGACCCAAATGAGCCGGGCTCCATTAAGATCGACATGGTGATTAAGCGCACGGAAACATTCGAGTATCTCGGATCAACACTTGCGTCCGATGGCAGCTTGAGCTCGGAAGTGGGCGCATGAGTGAGTGCGGCGTGGTCGCCGCGACCAAGAAGTTGAGGCTCGCCTTGGTGTGATGGAGTTATGTTGCGCTGGACGGCGGGCATCACGCGATCGGATCGCATTTGTAACGATGTCGTGCGCAAGAAGTTATGGTGTAGCCCATTAGCCCGATAGAAATGGCGTGAAACAACGCGCTGTCGGATGGTACGGGACACGTTACTCGACGCGAAAACCTCCGTAAAACTGCCTCTCAATTCGAAGGTCACCAGGGAAAGCCAGCCACACGGGCGTACCAACAGCGGCTGCTTGCCCTGCACACGCGCTGCACTTAACCTACTTATAAATAGCGGCATTCACCCCGATCACGGCATTTCAATCGAAAAAAATGGTCGTAAGCTCTATATCACAAATAAACGCCGGACCCGCCATCCGAGAAGGACAACCTGAGGAAGAAGAAGAAAGTTTTTGGCTAGGAAGTAGTGTTCACATAAGTAGCCCAAAAAATGATGTATTGGAGCATCCAGCGGGCCTATAGATCTTACGAACACTCCTCCATGCAGTCGTTCTATTTGGTCTCCTTCACATCGCAACACGTAGTACGTTACCCAGGTAATTTCGAAATTGTTGTCGTGAGATACTTTGCTTGGTGTGCCCGATCCGAGCCATTCACGCTCCTTTGGCGGGTACGGGTATGCCGTTAGTTCGACCTGCTGAAAGTAACCCGTACTGTTTCTTTGTCGGCGAAACCGGTGCACAGGTTGTTTGTCGCGGAGACCCTCACACGCCATAATTTTCGACTTCTATCCTTGATCGCGGGCCGTGTCAACCTTTTAGGAATCAATGTGAACACAAGAGATAAATTGAGAGCTGAGTAGTCCAGAACGGAGCTCAAAATAGAAAACCTACCGTTTCACGGTGTACTTATCAGGCAATAGTTGACATAACTGTCTTGCACCCGTCCATGTTTTCCAATTTGCTGCGAAATTCTTCGTGCACATATCCTCCATAGTTTTGTAAGCGAATATCAAATAACCTAAATATCAAATATATAGCAGACTGAAAGATACGTAGTCAGAGATAGTCCATTCCACATATGGTTCGTTAGATAGATTTGGTGCAACGGAAATGATTGGAGATGTAACATTTTATTCTGAAGGTCTTTACGAAATATTCAATTAATCCCATTCTCTTCAAAGTAGAGGGGACGATAATTTAAATAACTGAGCGGTTAAGGTAAATACAGTCGTTCTCACTGAAATCAGACGGGGCATGGCGGCGGTTCGTTGGCGTACGCATGGAAAACTTCACACATGGATTCCGCGCGGGGTCAGCTCGATCGCCTGGCCACGGTTGTACAATCAGTGGTGGGAAAGGAGCTGGTCAAGCTCAGGCGCCGCTACTATGCCCGAGTAATTCCAGCGATAAGGGCTGCAATGCAGTCAAGAGGAAAGGTTCTTCAGTAAGGAAGGCCTGTCGGAGGATCTCCGCCCATGTGACCAGTGTGGACTGTGCCTCCACTTCACTACGGGAATGAACTTCGAAGATTAGAATCAATGGTGAAGTCACTACGATCCTTTCCTGAAATTCCTGGGCAAAAACAAAGAAATATTATAACTGGGCACATGCACAGGGAGAGTCGAGAATCGCAGCGCTGCCGCGATGTGTGGATTGGGTCCTGGCGCGGAAACCGCGCTTATCACCTCACTTACAATGACTCTTTCATTACGTCGCGGAACTGACCCCGCAACCTCTAGAGCTATGTCACAGCATGTACACAGCACGTCGTTAGTTAGGGATTTTAGTCCGTACGACCTCTCCCCCCCCCCCCCTTCCTAACTCCCTCCTCTCATCGAGCCGTCAAGCGGGAGGGGGCGGAAGGGGGGGGGGAGGGCTGGAGAGGGAGGTATATTGTGCACCTGAAACGGGAAAAGGTCGGTAGGAAATACGACCCCCTCTTCCAGCGGCCAGATACGACCATTCCCTGTTGGGGAGTCCCCAGCGATGATGTGCTCTGAGCCCCTCGCTCTGGCTCTGTTATTTACTCTTCATATACGGTAACACTTTTCATGAAGGAAAACAAATTTACCGGATTCAAGCACCTCACCATCGCTACTAATTCCTCGTTTTGGGCTGTTCGTCTTGCACTTCGGAACGTCAGATTGCTGTCGAATCATTTGCACACATTCGAAAAAGCCTGAATCATCAGCATACATTCGCTGAACATGATGGTCCAGAAAGAAAATCGTTTCCGAGTTGCAGTTTCTCTTGAAGTCACCCTTGTGTTGAGATGCGCCTGTACTCATCAAGTTGTATTGGATACGTTTCGCTTTCCTGACCAAGGCACGCCAACGCGTTGTGTCGAATTTATGCTTTATACGACCATCCCCCCACCCCATTGCCCCGGACGGGTTTCGGTATGACACCCATCTCAAGAGAAAAGACATCAACGGAAAAAAGAGATTAAGGAGATAGCGCTGAACCGGATACTCGAATTTCGGACGTTTTTACTCTTTCAAGAATTGCGCGCGACATTCAAAACGCTTGCTGCCTTTGCACTGGAGTACGCTATTTTGCGACGTGATGCAAAAAAGGGCTAGAAACGCAGTAGTACCCCTCCTGGAATAGTCATAACTTTCTCGAGAGCGGTAATCTGAAGCGGGAAAAGCAGGGTTGTGGAGCACTAGGCTTGGTGCTGATTAACCATGCTTGACTCATTCTAAACAATTTCCCCTTCAGAAAATATCCCAGTTGTGTAATGGTTGCTGGATTCTTGTGCCACCTACGAGTATTGAGAATACTGCCTTGTCCGCCATGGAAGAAAAGGATTCTCACATTGCTCACTGTCTGGGACCGATGTGGACCCACGAAAACCACAGCGCTCTAAAGAAGGTATTTGGACGCACATGTGACATTCAGGGCTCGTCCTGCGGCGGGGGAATTTTCGGGAAATTTGACCCCCCCCCAAATCCCGTCGTCTCACACTCCACCTCTTCCGCATCCCACCTATCTTGTCAACTTATCCAAGCTTACTAAAACTGTTTCCGCAATGCCCTGAAAATTTTCCACGTCCAGGTTTTCCCCGAAATTTTTCTGTCGAGAGAGGGGGAGGGGTATACGGTATACAGCACCAGTAAAACGAAAAACTGCGAAGTTTTCCTGAAAAATTTCTTGGGAGTAATGCACGGAAGAATCCATTATCGAGAAAAATTCTCAGACCATTCTCAAACCAGGTGCGAGCCTCCAGGAATCCGATACCACCCCTCCCCTGCTTGGGATACTACAGCGCAGGACGTGCAAGTGGTGATATTACTATCCTCTCTTCAGAATTATGCCAAAAGGCAAACACAACGAGAAATACCTGAGTTTTCGCCGTAATCCGCTTCACCCAAAGTCTCGATGTGCTTGTCGAACAACTGTCCGCGAACAAAGATCAATCCCATACTTGGGAAGACACCTTGAAATAAGCTGAACTGTAGGGAAATTAGCAACGAATTTGCATTTTTTTAGCCTTGTCATAACGAGTGCGTGTCAAGAGAATCGTAATTCGCCGCGTGATAGGCGTCGCGTGCGACGTCGCGTTAGCAACTTGACGATGGTTCCAGGTCGTAGATGGCGACAACAGGCAATGTAAAACCAAAATAGCCCAAAATGGCTACAGTTTCGTAGCCTACAGTGCTCCAATCGACAGGCTAATACAAACTAAGAAAAAGCCGCATTTACGCCGCGCGCGGCGACGCGGTATACTGCGATTCTCTTGACCGTCTCCCTGTCACAACAGTTTTCCCTGTTATACACTACGGGTGAGTTCCGACCCCTAAACATCTTCCTAGCCTGCCGGGCATCAATAAAAGCTAAGCACTTTTAGAGCACGCAGCTCGTCACGGGCGTGCCGCGAACGCAGCTGCCCCCTCCCCTTCTCCGCGATAGGTTAATATCCCAGAGATGGGGAGGGCGTAGCTGCCTTTTTCATTTGAACAAGGTGCAGGACAGGAAGCGTTGTCGTCTGATCATTATATCTGAGAAAACTGTCAACTGTTATACCATGTGTCGGACTAAGATATGATATTCTCCCAAAATGGCAGACTCTCAGCCAGAGTGCTGTTCCATGATGTTCGAATGAGCTACGCGACCACGCCTATCCTATCCCCGGGATATGGAGTGTCCTATCTGGCGAAATATAGTTTATCACAAAAATGCTGAGTTGGGGCCTGACTTCTGCCCTCAATTCAGCATTTTTGTGATAAAATTGTCAATATTTTTTTCTATCCATTGTTCATGGCCGCACCTCGTGCGCAAGCAAAATTTCAAGAAATTCGGCGAAATATCCTCAAAAGTAATTTCTCAGAGGGAATCCCTGGTAATAGCAAAACTTTACTGCACTTACAGCCTTTCTCTACACTCTTCACACGTTTGATGCTGATTTGCTCGAGTGATGGATGATCCAAGTGCAGATTTTCCGGAAATCGGATGCTATTCTCAGCTGTTGATTCGTCAACGTGAATTGACAAGTGCAGATAGCAAGGTAGTAACTGGAAAAGTCCAATATAGCGCTGTCCTGGAGCCTCATAAAAATTTGATTTTTTTGGGATCACACAAATAGATGAGGATAAAGCATTCGACCCTGATCAATCTCTTTTGTGAAGCGACGCACATCCTACTTTCATTCAGACTTGTAAAAAAGGCAGAAAAGTGCCCAAATAGTTTACTACACAAAATCTCAAAGGTCCCAAAGTAACTTAAAAGTCCAAGATATTTTTCAGAAACTTTGATGCCTAACACCTTCGTCAGCTACTAAAACATGTGTAACAGACTGATTAATTTTTAAAGGCGTTAAGTTAGTCTCCCACCTGGGTCTGCCTGCTATAACGGTGTAGCTGGAACACGAATTCTGAGGTTCAGGCAAAAGCCTTGACCCAGGATCCGAACCCGCACCTCAGGCTTACCAAGCGAATGCGCCTTCCGTTACTTTACTAGGGCTGCTCACACTCTCGCATAATGGTTTTACTCAGCTGAATCTCTGGTCCACACCATTTCAACGGACATTTGCTTAATTACTTGCTTTTACTTTGCTTACTTTGCTTTCAATAAGGCAAAATTTAATGGGGCAGGTTCACCAAGAAACAATAAGATCCATCACGCATTTTCTCTAATTTACCAAGTCTTCTGCAGCTTCAGACCCCCCCCCCCCCATTCTTCGACTCCTACAAAAGTCACTACTTCGAGCACGGCTGACCTTTTCACATGCGATCCCCTTTCATTGGAACAAATAGGATCTCACGGTCAAGATCTTCCGCTGGGTCGTCTTTTCCGTGGGTTTGGTATGATACAAGACTGTCGGGGGTTTCAAAACAAGACTCGTACAATTGGCCCTTGCAGATAATCGTGGTCCAAATCAAATTGAACCTTGTACGATTACGAATGAAAGTTGAATGGCTGGCGCAACCCGGAAGGGGTTATTCATCGCTTCAGCTTATATTTGCGAAAGGACATCCTGTACTGTCCCAAAGGTTGTCAATATGAAACTAGATGATCTTCGAGCAACTCTCGGTCTTTTATAATTTTGATAATAGTCAGAGCTAACAAATATATGGGAAAATATGTGAGTAATAAAAGTTCAAAAAAAACAAAATGAATTTTTACCGTATGTTTAGTCCAGGTGGCGACCATGATGCCTAGGCATGAGCAAGCCAGTTCTGAGAATGACTCAAACAATAGGATAATGCTATTTCGAGATTTTCGTCGTTAACGAGTTCCATACGCGTTATTTCGCCGACCCGTCCCTCACATTTCCCTCGCCTATAACATGATTTCCTATGAACGCCGTGTAAAACAATATAGTGGGGTGCAGATTTTTTTTTGCAGAATGAGCGCATGAGTGTAGAGATTCAATGTTCCAATTTTTTTATCACTTACGATTGTGGGTAGTCTCTCATCCTCGGGGCAGAGGACCCCTCTGGCAAAACTGGTGCCACGTGAAGGGAATGAGTATTTCTGTCCATGACTCAGTACGTTTGTAATTGTTTTCTATGCATGACGGGGCGGAAAATAGCAGTCAAAGTAGTACTGAAGTTTAAGGCTGAATAACTACTGCACTTCGAGAACTACTGTACTTTGAGCAGTTTCTAGGATCGTTCCTCGTTTCTTTATTCCTTCAAGGCTACAACTTCCAGAGTGCGAGAGTTTTAAGACCACATGCAACTATTTGTATAAATTTTTCGAGATCAGAGATTACTGGGAACATTGGTTTTCAACGGCAGCATTAGCTGGAAATTAAGTTGGTGAAAATATGAGCGCCTGACGAGTGCGCTGAGAGGTTTTTTCGAGGGATTACTTACTTACACCCAGGATTCAGGC